GGCGAAGGCTTAGCCTAGAAGTGGCTATGGAAGAACATAGTAAAAGCTATGGAAGCACATAGTAAGAGAATAGGTTACTAATAACTGCGAGTTAACGGGGGGAGAGAGAGAATACGATGTATCATGTATAAAACAATTACTAAAATGAAAAATCCAGAATTCTAGCGATTCTTACTACAGTCAAATCTGTCGTAAGCGACCGCCCCTTGGTGCAAGAAAAAGCGGTCTCTTACGGCAGATGTATGGTTTATCCGGCATACCGGGCATGCATATACTTATGCTTCCATGTACTCAAATCGACGAGAATAAGGTGATTTTTGATATCATTTTTATTGGATATAGGGGCGCACTTGCAAGACAGCGCATTTTCACACCTTGCAGTTGACAGCACACTGGCAAGTACAGTTTCGCACCTGACTGAACGTGGGTCGCGGTCGCTTACGGCAGATTTGAATGCAGCCACCGTGCATGAAATCGCGTTCGCTGGTCGCGGATGGTCGCTTTGGACAGATCAATTTGTATGTGAAACCGTCGGTGCACGGAAATCGGTCGCTAACGGTAGATGGTCGTCTACAGCAGAGGTCGCTAACGGCAGATCTGACTGTATGTGACGATGTTCCACTGATGATAGACACGACAAAATGTTCTGGAATTTTCATTTAACAATTGTGTTATACATGGGTATGATTAAAATAGAAGAAATCACATGGAAACGAGTTATGAAGTGCTAGGATATCGCCACTCTTCAAAGGCGGAGATCCGAGCATGCCAAAGAATCATCGACCAGTGTCCTTGTTATCGATTGCATCCAAAGTGTTGGAAAGGATAGTCCACGAGCAACTCACACGATATCTAGTCCAGAGCAATTTATTCCCGCCAACTCAATTCGGCTACAGATCCCACCACTCTACATCCGACGCACTAGTGCTAGCTGTGGAAGGTATCTGTGAGGCCCGTATGAACAAACTCAACACAGGTGTAGCCTTTGTTGATATGTCAAAGGCATTCGATAAAGTGAAACATCAAACTCTTGTGCAAGATCTGTTCGAACTTGGCATCTGCGACACGGCACTCTGTTGGCTGGTGGATTACCTCTCTGATAGAGAACAGTACGTTCAGGTTGGCCAGACTAGAAGTCTCCCGTACACCAGTTACTCAGGTGTCCCCCAGGGGTCGGTACTGGGCCCACTGCTATTTATTGTCTATGCCCGCGGCATAGCAGACGCGGGCATAGCAGAAGAACTATCGCCGTTTAATGTGGGAGCAATCCAGTTTGCTGATGACATCTCTATACGATGTAGCAGGGAGTCTGCGGTAGCTGTTTCTGCACACCTTTCAGCTGCTGTTCAGCACCTGGCCACCTGGCTGAAGGGCCGTGGTTTAATTCTTAATGAAAGAAAGACACAGATATTGCCTATTCCCCCATCCCCATCTCAAGCACTTGAGCTGCATGTCATTTGTAATGGGCAGACGCTGCCTGTTGTGAAAACGGCCAAGTATCTTGGCCTACATTTCGACTCAGACATGAGCTGGAACACCATGACAAGCCATGTTGCACGCCGCGTTGCCGCTAAGATTGGGCTACTAAATCGAAGTGCAGCATATTTGCCTTTTTCTTGCCGTGTTCAGTTTTTCAGGTCCTTTATACTATCAGAATTTGACTATGCATCTGCATCCTTTCTTATCCTCTTATCAGGATAAGCGCCTAAATAGTTTGTTCAAACGTGCGGCTTGCTCGGTGTGCAGGGCAGCCCCTCGCACTCACACGGCTCCCTTACTTGAACGCATGAATGCCCATACCCTCAGCATATACACCCACATGCACATTCTATTCATTTGGCGCTGCCTGAACAAAATCTTCAAGTACTGTGTTTGCAAGCTTTTTCACCCGTAGTCCCTCTCTCCGAACACGAGGAGGGAGCAGCTAGTTACTCATCATTCCTGTCTCCCCCACTGCATCCTCAGCTAAGCGCATTAGCCATGCTGGAGCTATCCTGTGGAACCAGCTCCCAGACACAGCACGCCTCGAAAGAAAGCGCTCCACTTTCAAATCGCTAAGCCTGGCCGTTCTGTTAGGCAGTACCGTCAACTAGGATGAACTCATCTGCTTCATTACCTCTCTCTCTCTCTCTCCTCTCTCTCTCTCTCTCTCTCTCTCTCTCTCTCTCTCTCTCTCTCTCTCTCTTCTCTCTCTCTCTCTCTCTCTCTCTCTCTCTCTCTCTCTCTCTCTCTCTCTCTCTCTCTCTCTCTCTCTCTCTCTCTCTCTCTCTCTCTCTCTCTCTCTCTCTCTCTCTCTCACTCACTCCTTTCTTCCCGGTTGCCGTTCTTGTGACTTTTTTTCCCCTGCTGCCGTGCTCATATTAGTTATCTAACTACAGCTGTATCTTCTTCTTGGTTCTGTTTGTCCGCTTATTATTATATATTTTTCTTTTCTCTTATTATCAGTGGGACCATTGTCATTAGGTTTAGGCCTGTTTTGGAACTCCACTTTAAATAAAGCCAAACAACAACAACAACAACAACAATGAAGCAACTATCCACCACTGTAACAAGATAATAAGCAGACAGAAAGTGCGACAACAGGGCACAAAACTGACATGTTACTGTGACATTCAACGACCTGAGACCTACATGTACATGTAGCTCTCACACACCTTCAGTGCGCAAACCAACAGTCTTCCAGCTTCCCCTCATTGGTCCTATCATAAACTTGAACCTTCCAAGCTGGAAAGCTGTTGGTTTGCGCACTGAAGGTGTGTGAGAGCTACAATGTACAAGTACAATGTACATGTACATGTACATATAACAGTCACATGTCAGTTGTGTGCCCTGTTTTCGCACTTTCTGACTGCTTACTATCTTATTACAGTCGTGGATAATCCCTTCATAACTCCTTTCCATGTGATTCTTCGGTTCTAATAATATTATTTATTGGCTCAGTATCCGACTTAAACATGGTTATGAGCGATCATTTAGTTTTATTTATTGCTATTTTACGACTGTTGTCTCTTCGTCGGTTATAATAAAGATTATTATTCTAATTCACCTCCGTCCATGGTTAACGTTTGTTGTACTACATGACTGTACTTGCTGTGCTTTGCCCCCCTCCCCCCCCCCCCATGTCATTGAGCACCCTCAGCAAACTGGATGCATTCGCTTGTGCAGTGATTGTACGGAGAAACTTCTGTATGGAGCACAACGGTCACAACCGGCTGTCCGCTTTGGGTAGTGCTATCGAGGGGAGTGCGGATAATAGGCCTTGGCGGATAATGCTCGAAAAGGTGGCAGATTCTGCTTTTTTTGCACCGAAATTGGCAGAACCATACAAACCTTATGGCGGGCAATTCCTCGAATTCTGCTCCATTTATTTATCCACATACCAAACATGCATGAAACTGACCAGAAAAAGTACCGAATTCTGCCAATTTTTCTGCCGGCATTACCCGCCAAGGCCTAGCGGATAATGCTCCAAAAGGTGGCAGATTCTGCTCGAAAAGCAGTGAAATTGGCAGAACCACACAAACCGTATGGCGGGCAATTCCTCGAATTCTGCTCCATTTCTTTATCCACATACCAAATATGCATAAAACTTACCAGAAAAAGTACCGAATTCTGCCAATTTTTCTGCCGGCAATCCGCATTATCCGCATATGCCTAGTGTTATCTCTTTATGGGGCGGTCACATTGAGGGAACAATTCTCAGATGATAAACTGGGGATAAGCTTTTCTACTTTTAATCACGGCCACACTGCATACGCACAATGAAAATAATCTCACTCATACGAGCCATTTTGTTGGCACCATTCGCTGCTGGCAGTCTGTCAGCCCCGCTCCCGGGACAGAGCTGCATCAGCACAGCCTCTAGAGTATCACTCCACTTCATAACGCAATAAAAAAACATAGAAACTCAAAGAAATCCAGTGGAAGCCACGGATGATTATAATCTTCCGCGGAAAAGCAGGGCCTCGAGCTGATTTTCATCGCGCGGATCTCTCAAATATCCCGCTCAGAGGCAGAAATCCATGTTAACCACGGATGTTTTTCAAATTTTCCCTCAGTGTGACCGGCCCATTAGGGCTCAAGATTATTTCAAGGAATGCACTGCGTACATGTACATAAAGAAATGTTTGGACTCGGATGGAGAGCCAAGAATTAATTTATAAGAAAGAAAAAGGACCAGGGAACTACAAGTTACGCTATAATGTCCACTAACACCACCAGTTACTAAACAATCAGCTCATGCGATAACATTGCACGACACTGACCGACGGTACTGACGTTCTTCAACTAACTGGCTAACAGCTCTAGCACATCTTGGACGCGCACTCCAACTTGGAAGGTTCTAAGTTATAGAAATAACATAAAGAGGGGAAGATGAGCGCAACCAAGATAAGCGCGAGCTGAAAGTCTCAGCTGTGAAGGACGTTGGCGGATGTTCATGCAGGTCGAGGACGATACTGGCAAGACCACTGGACAATGCGGTCAAACCACGATTCAAGGACGCAAAGCAACATTCTACACAACTTTTGTGGCTCAAAGATACGAAGATCAATAAAAGGGGAAGCTATGACGAACAAGAATCATGCAAAACCGAACGCCTCAATAAAACAGCACTGTACTTCGACTATGACAATTTGAAGGTTCTGCTGCCATTTTCACTGCTTTTCGACCAGAATCTGCCAATTTGTCCAGCAATATCCGTCCAGGGTTAACAGTGATCCTCGATCATACATGTACATTTAAAAAACAGCTAGTTTTCGTTCCTCGTGAGGTTGACGGTATGCAGTGTAACGGTCACCGTGTCACCGTGGCTCTGGAGATTGTGTCGCTATTGGCTGGTTGTCGTGAAAACCGAGTTCGTTACTCACGAGGTGGGCTAGGCTGTGCTTTCTTCGTGTGTCCCCTGGAGAGGTACTAATAGTACATTTACATGATACTGAACTCAAGAGTCGAGTCCTGTGCCTCATCACTTCGGTACAGAAATTAATTACAACATCAGCTCCGATGTACCCGTGCAAGCACTAAGGCTAAGCACTTTTCTTTTTACAACGTTTAGTAGGATATACATGTAGTGGACAGATGAAACGGTTGAGAGATGAAGTAAAAATTATTAAATAATGGTCAAGAAATGAGAGTGGAAAAAATAGTTCGTGTGGGTAGTATTTGCACACCGATGAATAGAATCTGATACGAAACGTTATGCTGGTAGAAGAAATTGTACTACATGTCATACCTATCACTAGTGAACCGGCACGAAGGTGGATGAACGAGAATAAAACAAGAAATAAATACTTGTGGAGAATATAATAAATATTTTGAGTGAGAAAAATACGATTACGATTGTATTCTTTTGATGGTGATAGGTGTCCAGCGGATTACGATGTCGTACTTTATGCTGGCTCAGCAGGCTTCTTGACCAACGTTACTAGTACGTCAGCGGTCAGCTTCCAGGCTAATAATTATAGCTACATGTAGGTATTTTTAAAGTTTGTTACTGCTGTTTTCTTTCCAGAAGCCAGTCTGAGCAGTTCCACAGCCACATACGGTACATGTCTAAGGCAGCATGCAGACACAGTATGCTGTGTGTCGTTTTAACTTTAGTTGAAACCAAGGGAATGGGAAAGTTGTTACAAGGCGTAGGGAGGGGTGAAATAAATAAGGGATGCTAAAATAATGCACAAGTATAGTGGCGCCGCTACGACTTGAATGGCTATAGGTTATACATGTACATACATACATAGAGTATTGAGAGGTTAAGTGCAGAACACACGTTATGCCTGAGAGACAAATATTCATACATGGATACCAGCTTGCGCTGAGATTGAGCATTGAAATGTGTTTAAACTTGAAACCTGTTGTCACATTGATCGAAATAAATAGAAAGTACGGTATTAGGGGCTTGATTACTGCTTGGATAGCTGAGCTTGACGTTCTTCGTGAAATATTAACTTAGCTGACTCGATGATATCTCAACGTGGGTATTCCGAGAAAACGGGACTGAAAAAATACGATGGGCGAAGTGTCGGTACACAATGTAACTATGACGTGAAGTGTTCCATTCCCGTTGTCTCCACTTTGATTTTCAAAAACATGGTGTCGTCTCGCAGGTACTGCTGGGCGGAACTGTTGAGCATCTGATGTGACATGAAGCAGGGGCAGCCTGGAGAAGACGTGACAAAATGCAGTAAATGCACACACACGCACAGGGTTAGGAGGGTAGCACATTGATCGCCAATCTACAGTTATGGCAACTGAAATCCGACCCTTTAGCTATGCGTTCACATTCTAGCGGTCTCCATATTCGTAGTTTTACTATCCCGACGTGTTGGGTCTTTGCGATGTGGGTCGGATTTCAGTTGCCAGCACTGAACCACCTACTCTAGTGCAATCGTGTATCATTAGTCACAGGCGTGGAGTGCAATACTCTTAGCATAGGTAGTTGAAAACTTCAGTTGCAGTTACAGTTCGCATATCACCCTTTGCTGCGCATAACTTCTGCAGAGAAACGTTCCCGGACATCTTCATAGATATGATCGGCATCTGGATTTCACACTTCCTATCTTTGAGCACAGTTACATATACCGGTGCTAGTAGTGTTTTAAACATTCTTATTTGAATTATTTCACTTGGGACTTTGCATATTGCAGGTATCTCCTGATGGTGAAAATGTACACTAGCCTAGTTGTTCAATATCCCCATAATTATTACACTGGCATCTCAAATGCTTCTTGCTCTCTTACAGGACATGATAAATGAATAACTTCTACATGTCAGTTGCCATGTCAAAATTTGTAAGAACTAATACTGTTATCTACGTACCTGATGCGACGTTGAGGCCACTGGTGGGTCTCTGGAAGCTGGAGCTGCTAATGTCCGGAGTGAATGTCTCGCTGACGTGATGCCTGGCTGGCGACTGATCCAGGAGGCTGAGCGTGACGCGGCGGTTGAAGGGCCACTGCAGAATGGCATCGTACTCGCCCGCCATGATCACGAAGAACAGGGACACGTACTTGCCGTGCCCTGCGCCGTCTCCGTTCACGTAGAGCCTGGCGCATGCCTTGTAACCATATCTACCTGCATAGAAAGGCTGGCTGTAGTGTGAGGTCTGCAGGGGAGAGAGAGAGAGAGAGAGAGAGAGAGAGAGAGTGAGTGAGTGGGAGAAAGAGAAAGAATGTGCGTGCGTGTGTGTGCGAGAGAGGGAGAAAGAGAGAGCACAACAAAACACATCCACAAGTATTTTTAGTCCACTGATTAACTATCTCGTAATACGTAACCTGACGGTAAAGAGGAAAAGAAAATTCGGATCTCCGTTTCCAAGGCAATTTGTGAGTCGGGCTGGATGCTCACACGCAGAGCATCTGATACTAGTAGGCAGTTAAAGCTTATTCAAGCTTATATATACATACATATGAGGCTTTTAAAAACGTTTTGAAGAGTCATTTATAAAAGTAAGAAATATTTTCACGGTTCGCGTCAGACTCGACTGGAGGCCGAGTTGTCCGCTTCCGTGGGAACGCCACAGACCTCACTGATAATGCACGAGACATGCAAATAATAACTGTATTTAACTAGGCTGTACCTTAATTCCTCGCTTGGCCTCGTCCAGGAGCTTGGAAAAGTTGGGAATGCGCCAGATCAGGAATCCACCGTACGCTGTCGTCTCCAGCTCCATGACCCGCAGGTCTAGCTGATCGGTTTGCTTGGCGATCTCCTGACAGACTGACTGCTGCTGACCACTGACAATCTTCACGCGTCACAACGAAACAAATCACATACAAATAAAGCAACGTAAGACGACGCGCACTCAACAATACGAAATAGTGGTAGCGACCTTGGCGAGCTCCAGGATGGGAGCAAAACCTTAGGCTATGAATGACTTGTAAATGCACTATGTGTGTTGAGGCCTGATGCATAATTGCAGATTCCTGCAGGCATAAACAAAAGCTCGGTCACTTCGTCATATTCTTCGCAAAGTGCAGCCAGTACAACCCAGCCATGTCCAGCAATGTCTGCAGTAGGCATGTACAATGGCCATGTTTATGCAGAGACTGGACCCCACCGGACACCTAGCCCGCATTGGGCACAGGGGCGCGTTCACCCCCCCCCCCCCCCTCCAAAAAGGTTCGACCTTCAATGTAGGTTCAGCATGCATAATTATAATGGCCTTGAATGTCATGCACCAGCCATCCTATACATTATGCGGCCGTGCACGCCCTCCCCCCCCCCCCGCCCCGCAAAAGGGGAACCCCTACGCCCCTGCTGGTCACGTGACTGTACCTTGGCTTCCGTCTGGCTGCGCATGGTCGTGTGCACGTCCATCTCCAGGTTGGAGACGCGCCGCTGCAGTTGCCCCTGGGCGCCCGACTGGCCCAGGCTCTGCGACGAGGTCTTCTGGCTCCTGACGTCCTCCGCCAGGCAATCCACACGCGCATCAAGCGCCTGCAAACCTGCAAAGGAAACACAGACCATCACAATTTGAATACATAAGATATTCTGCTCCTAACTTTACTTTCTTTTCCGCCTCACCAGGTCTGTACCTCAAAAGTAAAATCCCCGGGAGCAGGCTTTAAATGCCTCGTTGCTTGTTTATGATGCTGATTTCAGCCGCATGACCATGGTTAAAGTCAATTAAATCAATGGGACTCTCTTGTCTGTCACGTGATAAGTCTGCTGTGTGATCAATTTTAAAATTAATTACACCAAAAACAACGAGTCACGTACTCAAGCAATCATTGTGTCATTTATTTGCTGATGAACATGCATAACAGTCCGCTTTAGTGACCGTATAATGTACAGTGAACTGCGTGACCAACGACCTCGGTTAGAACAATCAATCGCGAAGAACGAATAACGACACAGTCCTTGGACCTAGGACTATTAGACATCATGCGTTACCTTAACCCGATGACTGCTGAGAAGTTGCAAATGACAACACTTTTCCCATGCAAGATCGAGGGTCAGTATTCACAAGTAACAGCTTGACTGTACACATTATTTTATAAGACGTACCTCGCCTGACGTTGCTCTCCACCTTGGACTGAAGGCTGGCTATCTGCATCTGCTGGTGCTCAATGAGATCATCCTTGCGGCGCAGTTCCTGCTCCACGCCCTGCAACTTGCCGTGGAATGCTGCAAAGTGTGCCGCAGTGGCACTGGGCTCCACGCAATGGCGGCCGAAGTCGGCACGTCGAATCTGAGCACACGAAACAGTACAATCCAGATATTGCATGGGTGTTCACGTGATCTCTGCTACATTTGCACTGCCATACCTAACCCAATTTTTAAAAAACGTTGCAGCTGCTGTTGCCGAAATGCACCGTACGCCCATCATGCGGCTTGAGACCGAGATCACAAAATTATCTTCGTCTACTTCAAGTGTACTGGAATCCCTTACAGTGCACAGAATTGCAGCCTAGATTTGTCAGTAACTATAGATTGATAGGGTGTTTTTGAATACTTCGAAGTAGTGTTTACTTTCCCTGGATACCATGTTCATATGTACGTACCATCTGACCGCATCCCATACTGCAAGGTTCCTCTACCGCCTGGCACTCAGTGGAGAGGTGGGAGCGTAGTTGTCTCCTGGGTAGCCGCTTCTCGCAACCAGGGGACGTGCAGCTGATAATAGCCTCCTGGCAGTGCTCCTCGATGTGTATCTATGAGAGAGAGAGAGAGAGAGAGAGAGAGAGAGAGAGAGAGAGAAAGAGAGAACAAATGAGGGCTGAGACCTCTACGGCAGTTTTGTTTAGCCTGAAAGCAGGTGCATGATGAGAGAGCAAGAGAGCAAGGAGAAGGCGCCATACACTTACTAGCATCTATACAGGGTCCAGGGAATTTCAATGCACTAGTATTCTTTCCACCTGAAAGCCCTTCGAAGCATAGCTGCATAGCGTACAGCAGTAGTACAGTATGGCGTAAGTGATTTCCAATGATGCAGTGGTGATACATACCTTCATCATAGCGTGTGGTATTGACTGGTTGCAGAACTTGCACACCGTGAGACGATGCGCACACTCGTTAGCCAAATGTTCGTCGAAATGCTGCCGCTCCACGGTATGCGGGCACCCTTTATTTGTGCAGGCGACCTTTTCAAACGGGCAAACCTTCAGATGATCCTATGAACATAGAATCAGAAAACAAAGCCAAATTATACCTCACTGTACATGTTCAAGACAACGATATTTTCATGCACCCAACAAAAAGAAATCAAGATCTTCTTCCAGTGGTCCTTAAGTCAATTGCAATTACAGCAAAAACCTGGTTTAAACGACCACCCCACGGTGCAAGCAAAAGCGGAAACAAATGAATTCATGGTGAATAGGTACTTTACCTCAAGCTCGCGTAGCTTTCCTCTCCATTGGCACTTGGCGAAGTTCCTGCACCGGACCGGGATGCAGTTGATCTCCCTCTCGCAGTGGCGGTCCCTGAACACCTCATCAAGGGGTTGACGGTCCTCAGGGCACCTGGGATCCGGCCCCTTCCTGAAACGTACACCAAACGAAGAACACGGTTAGTTGTTTTCCAAGTGAAGCATGCAAAATCTGGACAGAACCTCAGCTTAAAATCGTGTTGAAGGTTTTATGTGCTTTATTCTTATGCACTGGAGAATCTTTGATCATCATGCTGGTAATCTCCTTGCATTCACAAGCAAACACATGTCTAGATCTGGTAGTTCAAACTTTAAAAGCATTGCTCACGCTACGTCAAAGAGTAATAAGCAACACCTATGTAGTCTACGGGGGCAACCTCTGTGTTTACCATCTCCCTACCACCAGTAAACTGTTCATTTTTACATAGTACCGAAGCATGGATATGTCGTCCATCAATACATTCAGGTTAGTAGTCATAGGACAGGGGAATGAGGGGGGGGGGGGGGGACGGGGGGTGGGGTGGGGTGGGTGGGGGTGGGGGGGGGGGGGTGCTTGGGCGTATCCTCAAGTTCTGCATGCGTATGCACACAACTAACGCCTCATCACCACCATGCTCAGTGATGAAGAATATATGTACATGTAGATTACCTTAGCACTAACTCGATACATGACTGGCAGAACCGGTGGCCACAGCTGGTTTGCACTGGCTTGCGCAGTATGTGCAGACAGATAGGGCACATCAGGTTTGCTGCTACCTCTTCTTCCGCATCCACCTGATACCCGCCCGTGAACTCCACAGTCGTAGCTCCGTTGCGCCCTAGCATGTTCCGTGCCTGCTCGGGCAGTTGTCGTATGTCGTCCAATCCCTTGGCAAGGGTTCTGGCAAACTCCTCCTCAGAGCCGCTGCCCAGCGAGGAGGTTGGGCTGTCCTTCGGATTTGCTGCGGCTCCCTTGCTGGTGAAATGCACTGCTCCGTGATCATCACCGTGCGCTTGGGAGCTGAACGACGATGGTCTACTGGCTGCTGGCTTCTGGTATTCATATCTGCTTGTAGCATCCGAAGGGTCTGTATGATCATTGTTCGTAGACATTGCACTTGTTGAGTTCCTATGCTGTGATGGGATTCCCCCTGAATTAAACACACACCACAGGTACAGCAGCGCAATACGTATTGTAGCGTCTTTTCCTTCTGAGCAAGAGTGAATGTACTGAATAGACTCTTTGACTTCCCTTAATTTTACGCATCCACTCGAATCATTAATTTTAGTCAGTTCTTGCTGGAGTATAAAGGCCTACAGCCAGGTCGGATGTGCGCCAAACGCTAGTTCAAGTCGACTTACTCATACTGTGTGCACATGTACACGTACGTCATGAATTGAGAATCAATGAACTCGTGGACACATGTACCTCAGTCCTGCAAAGTCTGTACACGTCCGACGATGAGAATGATTGCTCGGGAGGAGCAGCAGCAGCAGCACCCTGTAATGGGCGCTGTTGCGTTGCTTTTCTCAGCCTGGGAGTTGGTGCGTGTTTCAGACCATTCTCCGAGCTCTGTTCACTCGACTTCAACTTCGCGGAATGACGAAAAGCAATGCAACAACTAGGCTTTATATGATCTTCGGCCATGCCTACTGCACTGCACTGGCCAACTACATGTGCTGCAATTTTTGGCATTGTACAAATACAATGTACCTGTCGTCGGGTAGATCTAGAGGATAGGCGAAATTAGTTACATGCATCTACTACATATACATGTACAGGCATGTCGATGTATCCAGTTTTGACCAGTCTAGGCTGCGAGAACCGGTACAGTACCTGTACAGTACATGATACGGATGTGCATGTATTTCAATCAATGTAGTAATTGCGAGTGCATGCCGCCAATTAATCAGTCGACCGCTTTTAGAAGCTGCATGATCTGTCGTTTGATCTAGAGGCTGGTTGTGCCATTACTCAGCCCTGCGTCTTCTTTCCGTTTACGCGAAATCGCAGTTCACAGCACATTCCGTTCGTTATAACGATCACGTACAAGGCACGTCTGAACATGTACAGTGTATGTTGAGTCAAAGGGGAGCCTACACGGCGACGACCACGCGTCCTTTCACGACGTTTTGATGAATCGCATTTCTTCCCCTGTTCACATGTACATGCACGTATTGTGTGACTCATGCACTGCCACCATCAATGCCAACGGAGACGCGAGATAGGACTTACCTTGAAGTAGCATGGTGTCGGTTGGTCAGAAATATAGGCAGTACTGCTGTTCAGACGTCTGGTCATATACCGGTACTAATATTACTGACTACTAGTATCCTCGTGGTTCAGCTGATAATAATGATGGGATAGCGAATCGCCAGATTGATCCCAGATCGTCCTGTTTACTTTGGGGATTTCGACAAACGTTCTACTGTAACTAACTTCTAACTAAGACGGTAACTGGGACTTGTGTCCAGATCCACCCCCTTTTATCTTTTCTGAAGAAGAGCATCGCCGTACATGTTAGTGTAGTGAAAGACCGGTTTCAGTGCAGAGGGCATTCTGGCACGCTGACGGCCATGCATCCAGTGCAGTGCTAGGCGGTACAAAGACCGGCAGCGAGCGCGTGAGTGCAGTCCACACTGGAACAGGCTATGGTAGTATGGGTCAGTGGTCTGTGTCAGTGTGTGCCACTGACAGTCCGTGTTTGGTGTAGTACGTGGAATCGTGGATGTGTCTAGACTAATTCGATGAATGATGACATCTCTTGAAAACAGCGTGTCATGAAGACATGATTGATGATGAGGGCAACTGCCTGGCATGCACGGACACACCTACATGTACAATCATGTACAGTCATGTAGGTGCTGGTACGCCTACTCAGTACAGGTTAGACCTGGTAGACGCGGCATAACCCTGGCCTGGATCGATCGTGGGCGCAAAGAAAACACTAGATGATTATGTCACAATATGTGGCGTATGTAGAGAAGTGCCTCATCACCGTCACAACCGCATTGTCGTGTGATGCTTTATTTGTGTGCAGTACTCAAATGCCCAATAGCGGAAGATTACATCACCATTTTTGTGCATGCCTGGCGCCTCTGGCTCACACCATCATATGGCCATATGAATCGAATGTTCTGGCGCAGCAGTGAAAGCAGTCAATCGCATAGCCCTACACTGTAAGAAGTGAAATATGCGGGAATATTTGACTGCTTTTCCTCAGGCTGCGTACACTCCGTACAGTGCTCTATGTCCAGTGGACAGAGCCAGTACCGTAATACAAAGATCACATAGCAATGAAGCTTCATTGCTGTGTGATCTTTGTATGACTGCTTTTATCTGTGGGAGTCAATACCAATTAGGGAGTGATAAAGTACAATCACTTTCAAGGCGAAGGTCCCTCCCTGGTTTGAATCCTGGTGGTGACAGTCAATGTTTTCTTCAGACTTGTCCCGTTTGCGTTTTTCACTCAAACCAGGGAGTAAAATCATGTCCGGGCCGTTGACGATACAGGGCAGCGCTTCATGCACTGGCTATCGTCTAGTCTGGATCTTTTGACATCCATGTACACTTCTACAATGTACTGTAGTCTGCTTCACTTCATGCGTTCAACTAACGACGTTTCTACTACTGTCGTGTCCGTGTGTTGCTACTAATTACAATGTCTCTTTTGACTCATAAAATAATACAATCATGTACATGTAGTACTTTACTTCAGCCTTCACTGGCTTCAGGGCGCTTTCCAAGGATGGGACTAGAATGTCAAACAAGTACAGTCAGACCTCGCTTATCCGGTCCTCTTTTATCCGGATCCCTCGCCATCCGGAAGAAAATCGTTGGTTACAGATTTACAGCATCTGCCATGCATATATACAGTATGTGTGTTCGATTATCCGGTTCCCTCGCCTATCCGGATATTTTTGTGGAAAACGGATGTGTGCGGTTATGCGAGGTCTGACTGTACTACAATGTCATGTACAATCATGTACAACCATACGTGTGCATGTACATGGTGTACGTGCAAGTCACTCTCATCCTTCTAAAATAATTCTCTACGAGTAGAGTACGACTCTAGTCTGATCTACATGCACATAATCATTGTACAAGCTCTTGACCTGATCTCAGCACGCCGAATCACGTGCCTGCACTTGATCTGCCACCAGTACTCCGTGTTCATGGTGTTGGGAGTGATGGTGCTACTGCTAGCTTCATGCCATGGTGTCATAGCTCATGCGTGTCACAATCTGGTACAAACCGGACAAGCCTGGAATGCTGGACTGAGACCACGTCAACGCGTGCACGTGCCTTTGTACATTATGACAAAATCTAAAATGTACAAAGGCACGTGCGCGTGGATGTTTCCAAGGCGACCAAAATGCCAAACATGATCCCGCGCCGCGCGCTGAATGCACAGGTTTTCGACCATGCACGCATGTACGATATGCAAAGCGTTTTCTTTTCGTTTCGAGCACGTTCTCGTGCACTCAAGAAGCGGACTGTCTGTACTGTGTCTGCTAGTACAGTACAGTCTAGCCCGATACAAGTACGTCATTGTGCATGTAGCACAACTGACCTCGCGACCCTAGCGCAGACGATTTTAAAGGGGAAGTATACCCTAAAATCAAATTTTCACCAGTTGTAGTCTTCGGGGTGCTGAGTCGAATGGTCTTGGTCCGAGGAAGCTGCGACGCTCCCTTCCTACTTGAATCCCAATCGAACTCGCGCACTTCCACCGAAACTGGGTGACTGCGCCCTACTAGATGGGGATTTGTATGCAAAATCTCACTAAAAGCGCCATTTCGTTCTTATAAAAGCACGGATGACCGCGATTGGCCCATATGTTGTAGTCTTTTGGACGCTGAGTCGACTGGTTTTGGTCCGAAAAGGCTGCGATGCAGCGTTCCTCCTTTATTCCCAATCGAACATGGTTGAACACGCGGTCACGTGCTCCTGGGTGCCCAAATCACCTGGTCACCGCGCCAGCAGGCGACAACTTTCACACCAAGGTTCAACTCGAGTTCAACTCGAGTGACAGGAGTGCACCCAAAAAAGGTCAAACAGGCTAGTAAGTTGTACCCTGCAGGCACGGTGACCAGGTGACTGGTGTACGCAGGAGCACGTGACCGCTTCTTCAACCATGTTCGATTGGGAATAAAGGAGGAACGCTACATCGCAGCCTTTTCGGACCAAAACCAGTCGACTCAGCGTCCAAAAGACTACAACATATGGGCCAATCGCGGTCATCCGTGCTTTTATAAGAACGAAATGGCGCTTTTAGTGAGATTTTGCATACAAATCCCCATCTAGTAGGGCGCAGTCACCCAGTTTCGGTGGAAGTGCGTGAGTTCGATTGGGATTCAAGTAGGAAGGGAGCGTCTCAGCTTCCTCGGACCAAGACCATTCGACTCAGCACCCCGAAGACTACAACTGGTGAAAATTTGATTTTAGGGTATACTTCCCCTTTAATTAAAAGTGCACAGGCGATATCATGGTGCATGGTGCACCGGTGGTAGCCTGGCACAAGCGAAACTAACCTGGCCTGATTGTGTTATTATCGCGGACGTGTGACTTTATTTTATTTTTACAAGCGATGTACATGTACATAGCAGACTCAGCGGAGGACGTTCAGGTTGGTTGTATTGGCCTTGAAGCGTCCATAGCTAGCTTGCAGTGTAGGGGTAGAGTGCTCGACTGGGTAAAGCCTCAGCGTAGACAAATCCGTTGATTCCCCGAGCAGCAGAGAGTGCTCAATTTCAGAGACAGAGCTTAGTACATAGCAGACACACGTACATGTAAATAATTGTAATGTAGTAACTGTAATGTTGGTTGACAGCATGTAACAAGGTGGAGGACACCGTGTTCGGAAACAGTGACCTTTCTACAACCATCTGAACCGTATGGCTGTTATACCCGGTTCTGACCCTCCCTATTCGAGGCTAGTTGTGTTAGACTTCTCGTACGGTCAGTCTTGTATTCTGTGATCGCTCCTGGATGTCTTCTTGTCTGTTCTTGATACTCATAAACTTTTATAGTAGCTATTTTATTTTGAATAGTCTTTCTTTTTTTCTCAACTCTTTTGTTATATTCCAACTTCTGCCCATGGCGTCCCTCTCTCAGCTCGTCAGCAACCAATGCAATGGTTATTGTCACCACCATGACACTGGCGTGAGAAGGTGCTCTCTGCACTGTAGTCGAGGTTGGTTGGTGATGTCCCGACGTGGCCATGGCAACAACATCTTTGAACAAAACCAGCGCTTATCTAATACATGGACATGTACATGTAGCTAACGGTTATAACGCACATGTCATGTACATGAACATGAACATTCATGCACAGCACATCCTAATAAAGTTATTATTATTATTATTATTATTATTATTATTATGTACAATCATGTACATGTACATGTACATGTACATATACAATACATGTACAAGTGCAGTGTAGACGGTCATTTGAAGGGTCGATTTCAAGGCTCAGACAGTCAGAGTCAGACCATACGGATCATTTCCCTTTTTAGGCCTCGACGAGCTTGAGCAGATGTGACACGGGGTGTCAGAACTAACTTCGTCCCCTTTGCTTGCTCATTGTGCCGGTTCTGATGTCTGGTTTACACTACTCAGACCCACAAGCCAACGTGAACTGTCTCACTGCGGACGTGACCACAACTAGCATAGCACGAATCAGCACTACATGTATCTCAACAAAAGTCTTG